AGCTAACTATCACCGGTGTGGAGAAAAACTAGAAGGGGAGAAAAATCTGGAAAATTCCTAATGGATCCCATGGCCTCTAGGCAGTTCTGCCCTCTTTAGCCCTCGATTCCTCAGTGGATCCCAAGCTAGAAATGAACACAGGGACTCCGGGGATCGCGGTGAGATGGCCCTTCAGAAGGGTGGATGTCCTGGAAAAAGCAAACAGAAGTCTCAAGTTGCCCATCAAGACCTAAAAAATCACTCTCAGAATAGAACCCAAGTCACACACTGGATCAGATGACTTTGGTCATCAAGAAAAATTGAAAGCCAAAGTTGTTGACATCAATTGTGCAGTAGATCCATCTGGGGAGCTTTAAAACATGGCCCTGGCCCCACCCCAAAACCAATTAATCAGAATCTCTGGAGGCTGGGTCTGGAATCCCCCGGTGATCCTGAGGCCAGGGGTGGAGTGCCAGTACCTTTAAGTATCACTCGACATTCCCCAGGGAAGGGGGCGGGCAGCAGGAAAGCTGATACGGGAGCATGTTTCAACACAGATGGTCAAACTAAGGCAGTGTGCACTTTAAAGGCCACCTTCGGTTATCCAAGTGCACCTTCGCAGAACAGCTCATAGAAAAGGACTGTGGAACACAAGTTTTGGCGATGGTCAGATTCCCACATCACTTAGTGGGTGCGTGACCTTGAGCAAGTTACTGAACATCTCTGAGCCTCAGTTTTCTCATCTGTAAAGTGGGGACAATTGTAGTGCCAGTCCCAGAGGGTTGCTTTAAAAACTAATTAAAATGAAGTCAAAAAAGTGCCAAACATTAAGTCCCATCCCTCTGACTCAGAAGGTTCTAGACACATGAGGCATCATTGTGCAAGAGAGGGCCCTTAATGTCCCTTAACATTCCTACACATGAACATGATTGTTCTTAGAGGAAACTATCCAGCTCATAGGTAAGCCATTCCTGGGTGAACAGTGGGTAGACTGACTCAGGGGAGAGCTGCTTATGTTTCTAGGGAGAAGAGCTGAGATCCTGGCAACAACAGGAGGTTTCAACAACCCTGAGCCCTTTTACAACCACCCATAGTTGCTCATCTTCACCGAAAGATGAACTTGGCTTCAGAGTGTCTCATTTCCTCTTGCGGAGACCTTCCTGCCTTCATCAGGCAGACAGTGAATGTGCCTCTGCGCTGGACCCTGAGCTGGGCCCTGGGAGATGATCTCTACCTTCACAGAGCAGGAAGCCTGCCATGGCTGCCAGCACCCACCAGACACAGCAGAGAAGCCTCGTGAGGCTGCAGAGGAGAGGAGCCAGACATCTAGGGGAAGGAGTGGCCCAGGAGCCCCGAGGGGTTGCTGTGACTCTCTCCACTTCTTCCTAGAATCACTTCTTCCCTATGAATGCAAATGCTGCTCCAGCCTGTGCTGCCCCTCCCTTCAGTTTTCCCGTCTGTAAAATGGGGGTAGGGGGCCGAATAGAAGTAAACTTAATGATTCCCCACGGTCCTTGTTTGGAAGAATTTTGTGAAATGAGTACTATGGCCTACATTCACGTTTTAATTAAAGATTACAGCAAGCTTTCTTTGGAAAATTTCACAACTGGCCTTGGATCCATCTGGCTTTTCCTCCATCCCGGGGGGCGGGAGGTGGGGGTGGTACAAGTAGAACAATGCAATATGAGAGCATTGTGATCAAAACACTCTTCCTCTCTGATCTTTTTATTCACCTCTGTCCCACTTCAGTTCAATGCAAGGCTGTCTGGCAGGGTGAGCCCCAGACTCATCTGTGAGCTTGGCTGGGGCTGGGAGAGTGTCACCCAGCTTCTGGGCACATCGGAGAGCAGCTTTGTGGCAGCAGCTGATGTTCTTCATGATAAATGAGTCCCTGAAGGGATCCTTACATCATGAAGTTAAGTGTTTGTGGTTAGTCTTGAGAGGAGGGAGGGAGGGGAGGTGGCAGCTGGCGAGAGATCATCAGCCTCCCTTCTTCCTTCCCGGGTGCTTCTTTTCTCCAACCAACATTTGCCGTGCTCCTACTATGTGCAGGAGCTCAGAGACTGCAGGGATGAAGCCAGCACAGACCCTGCTCCCAACAGACAGGACGACCAGTCTAGTGAGTTCAGTACTGAATCCAGTGTCATCAGTAATACAAGAGTGGGAAGTCCCAGAGGCTGTAGGGACAAACACAACTCCAGCCTGGCCTGGTGGGAAGCAAGTGACAAGTGAGACTTTCTACAGGAAGGCTTGCAGGACAAGCCCACCAGGTAGAAAAGACAGCTCTCCTGGCAGAGGGAACGGCAGGGACAAATGTTTCGAGGAATCAAACAGAAGCCCAGGAAAGCCTTTGGGCTGGAGCACAGGATGCAGGGGTGGGGGCAGTGGGTTGTGGAGAGGGATAAGCAGAGGGGTCAGCAGAAGATAGAGTCCGAATGACCCTGGGTCTCAGCAGGGGGAGTTCAGTCTTTATTCTGAAGCCCCAGGGAGTCAGGGCAGGATTTTCCCAGGGAGGATGGCTGGGATTGAAGGGAGGAGTGGATTGAAGGAGCTGGAACCAGGAGCAGGCGTGTGCATGGGAGGGTCCCTTGATTGCTCAATATTGCTTTAATTCACTCCCTCAAGGAGCATTTCTTGAAGGCCTGCTCATCTCTCTCCACAACATCAGGCTGGTTAGCCCCTGCCCAGTGCCCAAGCTCAGAAAAAAAAAACGTATGGAAAGAGCTTGGCTGTGTCTGACAAAGCCTCCTTTGTGATGAGCCCCGGGGCCATGGCGGCGCGGTGCTCTGCTGCCCTCTAGCGAGGCCTTGGCGATGCACTCCTGCAAGGTCCAGCCAGCTTTTAAGTGGTTCTGAGTTTCTCCAAATGCCTTCCCTGCGTCCCTCCCTCAGCCGTAGGGGACCCGCTGTTCTTGATTAGAAGGTGCAGTTTAGGAATCGAGGACAGGCTCAGAACATCAAGTGTTGTATGCATTCTGACCCAGGTTGGAAGCCTGGTGCAAAAGTGCCTACAAACAGCTCATCACATCCCAACATGCACACATCCTGTCTCAGCACTTTTCTCAAAATCCCTTCTGTGTGGCTCATCTCAGTGCAGTTCGAGGTGGACAGAAACCTGATGAAACCAAACCACACTTAGGTGTGAATGACCAATAGTCCTGAATCCTTTTAAGGTCATTTAGGGGAGCAACTCTTCAGTTACTGGGTTTACAACTGAAAAAGGCAGCCTGTCACTGCTAACAGCACCAGGATTTAGAGCTCAGAGTTCTGGATTTTGGCCTCTCAGCTCGGCCATTTATAGCTCCTTTCTCCGCAGACAGTTTCCTCTGCCTACCTGTTTTCTTGTTTTTTTCATCTGAAAAACAAGAATTATAATTCTTGCCCTAGGATTAAAAAATATATAACAAATTAAGGAACTTCAGAGTTGAAAGGAAATTTAAACATCATCTAGGGATTTTTTTATTTTGCTTTTTTTAAAAAAGATTTTATTTCTTTATTTTTAGAGGAAGGGGAAGGGAGGGAGAAAGATGGGGAGAGAAACATTGATGTGTGAGAATTGAGAGCAACCAGGGACCTGACCTGCAACCCAGGCATGTGCCCTGACCAGGAATCAAACTGGCAACCTTTTGGTTGTGTGATTTTTGCCTAACCCACTGATCCGCCCGGGTCAGGACCTAATTTTGGCTTTTAGAGAAATCTTTGCAATTTATGAATCACTTCCAAATACAGGCCTTTAGACTTACGATAGGGCTATAGCCCGATAAACCCATAGTAAGTTGAAAATACATTGTCTAAAATTCGTTAAATACTACACTGCAGAGTATCGGTTGTTTACCCTCCTGATCCCATGGCTGGCTGGGAACTCTGCTTGCTGCTGTCCCACATCACAACAAAGTGTCCTATTGCATGTCACTAGTTTGGGAAAAGATCAAAATGCAGAATTCAAAGTATGGTTTCTACTGACTGTTTATTGCTTTTGCACTATTATAAAGTTAAAAAAAAAATCCTAAGTTGAATTATTGTATGTCAGGGACCATCTCTCCGTACAATCTCATTGAAATCTCAGAACAACTATATAAAATCATTAATCTCTTTTTACATGAAGGAAACAGGTTAAGAAAAGGGAAACAACTTGCCCAAGACTCTTTGGTATGTTAGTGGCAGAACTAGGGACAAGTCCCCCTTTGCTCTGTTACTCTGCCTTTTAGATCCTTCCTGGTAGAAGGTCCTATAACCCTCACCTGCCACCCTCACCTCCCTGTAACCTACGGGCCTCTGAACTCCCCCCAAAGCCCTAAGATTGTACTTACCTGGCTCCCTAGCAAGACAAGGGGATTCCTCTGCCCGGTGCTCAGCACACTCACAGGCATCTTTGCTGCTTTCATAAGCCGAACCAGGAGAGGGTTAAACAACCATCCTGGCCTTGGATCGGCCTTGGCATTGGAGAAACAGGTGGCCCAATGTTTAACCAGATGCTTTGGGGCTTCTGTCAATTCAGTCAAGAACTCAATCCAGCCCTGTCTTCCCAGAGCTGCGACTTGGCCCCTCCCACCCCTCTGGCCTGGGATTCAAAGAAGCTGGAGCTGCTGGGGAGGGAGAAGGGAGGAGGAAGATCCCAAAACTGGAGGAGTATGCAGGGAGAGTAGGGAGAGCCTGGTCCATGCCCTGCTCAGGTTTGCTGTTTGCCCTTCCCATCCCTGCCTCAGCATCCCCATCTGCACACAGAGGAGGCTGGTCTGGGTGGCCCCTCCTTAAGGGACTGGGTAACACTCCAGAACCCCTAGCTAGGGGTCCCTAGCCTGGGAAAGACTTTCTCCACCAGAGGTGAGGGTGGGTAAATCTTTAACTAGCAGGCCCTGGGCAGGCCGGAGCCTTTCCGGATGGATGGCTGCCGGGGAAGCGGGGGTGGGGGTGGAGGGTGTAAGGTGTGTATAGCCAGTCCCCGTGTGGTGGAAAGGGAGGGCAGTGGGGAGGAAAAGGAGCAAGGCTCGGGCAGAGCTAGCTCCGTGGGCAAAGCAGGATATGGAGGAACGCGGATCCCCCGATGGGTAAGCAGAAGTTCTGGGAGGTGCGAGGAGCCGCCGGGCACAGGGATGGTTTAGCTCGCCTTGCTGCCACAGGGACCCCGCGCGGAGCCTGGAGCAGGGGCCAGAGGGGCCGGAAACGCCCATCCAGGTGGTGCTCAGGTGGGTATAGGTTGGCTAGGATGTGCCCGCGAGAGGAAGGGACCGAGGGAGACATCGGGATGGACCACCCACCCTCCCGTCGGACCCCAGGGTGCGTCCCATGAGCGCTGCCGAGCTGCGTCGAGGGGAACAGAGCGTGCTGCACTGCACAGGGACCAAGACTCTGCAGGTGAGGAATCCCTCCTACCGGCCCCCCAACGCCACCCCAATCCCTAAACGCCCTACCGAAGGGTGCCCCATTCCTACTGCTAGGCCACTTTGTCCAGGCCCCGCCCTCCCTAGGCCCCGCCCCCTTCTCCACTGCCCCCTCCCCCAGGTGAGCCCCCCGGGCGGGGGCCCCGACGTGGCGTTCCGCTTCGGGGCCGTGCTGGACGGGGCGCGCACGCAGGAGGATGTGTTCCGGGCGTGCGGCGTGAGGCGACTCGGGGAGCTGGCGCTGCGCGGGTGAGCGAGGCCCTGGGGGTGCTCCACAACCTTGCACTGCCCTGACCGGGCCGCACCTCGCCCGCCGCCCCGATCCAGCCACACACCCTGCCTCCTGCAGCTTCTCCTGCACCGTCTTCACCTTCGGCCAGACCGGCTCGGGGAAGACCTACACCCTGACTGGGCCTCCCCCTCAGGTGGGCTGAGCGCAAGAAGAGCCCCCCAGGGTCAGGGGTCAGTGGGGAGCTACCAAAGGCACAGACTCCCAGAGGGAAGGGCTTTGGACCATGTAGCTCAGCCCCCTGTATTTGCATAAGGAAACTGAGGCCCAAAGCGGTGAAGACAGGGAGTTCAAATAGCGTCCCTTTTACTGCCTAGCTCTCAGTGTCTTCATCTGTCAAATGGAGGTGGTAGTACTGACTGTGGAAATTAAATGAGATGTCATATGGGAACTTGGCACTGTAACTAAGGGCACTAAGGAAAGCTAGTTACTACTGTGGCAGTGTTTCTGACCCCCAGGGAGAGGGGGTACCCATACCCCCCAGCCTGGCTGGCATCATGCAGAGGACCTTCACCTGGCTGCTAGACCGCGTGCAGCACCTGGGTGCTCCTGTCACCCTGCGTGCCTCCTACCTGGAGATCTACAATGAGCAGGTGAGATCTACAATGAGCAGGATGGCGGCAGGGGCGGGGGGGAACTGACATGAATAGAAATCACGCAACTGAATGATTTCTAGGTGGCAGCAAGACTTCGCAAGGAGCTTGGGCCAAGGGGCAGAACAGGTGGGGGGACTCTGGTCGGTCAGGTCTGAGGGTGGGTGGATACAGAGCCCCTTCCCTCACCCTCCACTCTTATCTCCCAGGTTCAGGACTTGCTGAGCCTGGGGTCCCCCCGGCCACTCCCTGTTCGCTGGAACAAGACCAGGGGCTTCTATGTGGAGCAGCTGCGGGTGGTGGAGTTTGGGAGTCTGGGGGCCCTGATGGAACTTCTGCAAATGGGTTCGTGCTACCTCAGGGGAGCTTCGGGGTACAGGGGAAGCCCATCCTTCTACTGTTCATTCTGAATGCACTCGGGGGCCCCTGGCTGGGGCTGTGGATGATCAGAAATGACCCTTGTGCGGGGTAAGGGTCAGCAAAACAACAATTTAGACACGGTGCATGGACAGCCCCCTAGACCCGCTGCTTCTGCCTTCCACGCTCTTTCTGGGCCCACCCCTCTTTCCAGCCCAGGACCTAGGCCTCAGCCAGGCCTCTTTTTTTTACTCCACAAAGAGGTCTTCCCATCTCAAGGCTCCCTGCTTCCAATCTGTGCTTCTCCAGACAGCAAACCACATCCCCCTTCCCCTCCAGACCCTCCAGACTCTTCCAATGTCCTGCAGGCCAAGGTCATAACTCTTAGTCTAGCTTATAGGGCTCTGTTCCAGTATTTACTGAGCACCCACTCTGTGACAGGCATTGGGGATACTGGGCTCCTGCCCAGCCGAGCGTTATTCCAGCTGATCTCTCTGCTCCCTCTCCCTCCCTGCACACAGCAATAGGAGAGATGTTTATGAAGTGTGGATCGGACTAGCATCTTTCCGCTCAGTTCTCTCTATTGCCCTCTCACCTGTTCGTGCTGGAGCCAGAACCCCACCCCCTCCTTCTCCTTTCCACCCGCTGTGCCTTTGCACAGGCTGGGCGCTCCCCCACCAGGAGGCCTCTGCTCCTTCTCCGTCCCTGGTGACCACCTGCTTTCCTGCCAGGTCCAGCTCCTGACGCTTTTCCCCTCCAGGTCTTAGCCGTCGAAGGAGCTCAGCTCACACCCTGAACCAGGCCTCCAGCCGAAGCCATGCCCTGCTCACGATCTATATCAGCCGCCAAACTGTGAGTGCCCCAGCTTGGGGAAGAGGCCGGCCCAGGGCCGCTCAGCAAGGGTCCGCCTCTGGGTGTAGAAACAACCTGGGTGTGCGCAGGAAGTCATGGTGGAAACCAAGGCCCCTTCAAGCCCTGGTCCCCCCATTCCTGCAGATGCCTCCCGTGGATCCCGGGGAACACCCTGTTGGTGGGAAGCTGTGCTTTGTAGACCTGGCTGGCAGCGAGAAGGTAGCAGCCACCGGATCCCGTGGGGAGCTGATGCTTGAGGCCAACAGCATCAACCGCAGCCTGCTGGCCCTGGGTGAGACCTGGGGTCCAGGTCTGACTCCCTGAGTCCCTCCTCTTGCCTGACCTGTAGCTGCCCACAAGGTGGGGGCGGGGGAGGGGAATAAGAGGAGCAGTGGAACCAGAGGGGTTGTAGCACAGGAAGAGCTGAGAGCCGGGAGCCACAGGCCTCCTCCTGGCCTTGGCTTGCCGTTGACTTGTGCCTCTCCTCTTAGAACCTTGTTGATGAGCCTAGAAACTTCATAAACTTTATTCTGTGAGAATAAAGCTAACTTGGGAGGTAGACTCACTCAAGTGCAGAGTATGAACCACCAGACGTTCAGCCTGTCCCTTGTGCAGCTGGGCAGGCTGAGGCCTAATGAGAGGAGGGGACCTAACCTGACCTGTCTTCCTGTCTCCACCCCAGAGGGCATGGTGGGGAGACCTCCGGGAGCTCCTCTCCACTCAGTCCACGTGTCAGACACTCCCTGAGCCCCCTCAAGTGCCAGGCGCTTTTCTGGGCATTGCGGGAGTGGGTGGAGGTCCCTGCTTTACATGGACCAGCTGCGTGGACTTGGGCCAGGGGTGTAACCTGGCTGGGCCTCGCTCTCCCCACCCAGGTCACTGCATCTCCCTGCTGTTGGACCCACGGCGGAAGCAAAGCCACATCCCCTTTCGAGACAGCAAGCTCACCAAGCTGCTGGCAGACTCACTGGGGGGGCGTGGGGTCACCCTCATGGTACCTGAGGGGGGCTGGCAGGGAAGAGTGGGCCCCAAGGGAGGGGTTCCCAGAGAGGAACACCCAGGATCTTCCTACCCAGGTTGCCTGCGTGTCCCCCTCAGCCCAGTGCCTTCCCGAGACTCTCAGCACCCTGCGATACGCCAGCCGAGCTCAGCGGGTCACCACTCGGCCACAGGCCCCCAAGGTGAATGGAGGGAGACACAGGCAGACGAACAGCGGGGACCATGGCTGGAACCAGGCAGTAGTTGGAGCCGGAGTTGGTGTCATGGTTGAAATCTGAGATTGAGTCAGAGTTAGGATTTGAGTTGAAATCTCGATAATAGAGTGGGGTCAAGGTCATGGTCAGGGTTATGGCAGGTCTGCGGTTGGAGTCTGATTTGGGATATGACTCAGGGTCTAGTATGGATCCCAGCTGGTATCATGATTAAGTTTGAGTTAAGTTGGGATCTGATGTGGAGTCTTGTTTGGGGTCAGGATCTGAACCGGGGTTTGAACAGGACTGAGTTTTGGGTTGGCCTTGGGGCAGGGTCCAGCTTACAATGGGCCCCCCAGACGTGCAGCTGAGACTAGAGGCACTTGGATGCAATTAGGACAAGGTGCCCCCTCCAGGCGCATGTAGCCCCGCGCCAGGGTGCAAGGCCGGTGGATGAAGCATGGGCTGGTTTTAAGGCTCCCCTCACTCCCCACTCCTGGAAGCCCTTGTGAAGTGCACACCTTTCACAACCACAAACGGCAGCTCTGGACCTTGTTCTCTACAGTCCCCTGTGGCGCAGCAGCCCCAGCGTTTGGAGACTGAGATATTGCAGCTCCAGGAAGAGAACCATCTCCTTCGGTCCCAACTGGGCCAGATGGACCTCAAGGGTATGAGCTGCGTGGGGGCGGGGAGGGGCCGTGGGGTGTGGAGAGGGTCTGGGCTCCTGTGGATCCGGCCATTGCCGCCTTCCCTGCAGTCTCTGGATTCAGTGGTACCCGAGTGGCTTGGGCCCAGCGGAACCTCTACGGGATGCTCCAGGAGTTCATGCTGGAGAATGAGAGGCTCAGGTAGGGCCCAGCCAGCGGACTCAGTGCCTGCCCTGCACTGCTGGGCTGCTCCTGCCAAGCTGCCTCCCTCCCCGGTCCCTCACTCCCTCTGCCTCCATCCATCTGCTGGGGTTCGTACTGCACTGCGATGGGGGGCTGACTGATACCCCCACCAGCCCTGCTTCCTGTCCCTGACCTGGGGCCTGTTCTTCCCAGGAAAGAAAAGCGCCAGCTGCAGAGCAGCCGGGACCTGGCCCGGGATGAGCAGCGCATGCTGGCCCAGCAGGTCCACGAGCTGGAGCGGTGAGCACGGCCACCAGCCCAGAGACAGGCCTAGGGACCAAGGGCAGGTGGGAAAGGGGTAGGTTAATGGAATGGTTAAACGTCTGACCTCTGGGTCCAGACCACCGGGGTTCCAATTCCAGCTCTGCCACCTCCTGGCTGTGTGGCCTTGGGTGAGTCACCTCTCACTGCCTGGGTTTCCTCATCTGTAAAGTGGGGATGGTACAGTGCAAAAAGTATACGAAATTGTGGTAAATTTCAGATCAAACGCGTCCACGTGTAAAGCATTGCGAACAGTGCCCGGCATGTAGTCGGCGCTCCAGGAGCATTTGTTAAGGCGGGGGACACGGGGGCCAGGCTGGCGGTTGGGTGGAGGGCTGCAGGCACAGACCCCGCTGTTCTCTCCAGGCGCCTCCTCTCCACCTGCTCCCTTCACCAGCCCAGCCCTGGCCCAGCCCCACCGTGTCCCTGTGTGATGGTGCCAGCTCCCTCCTGCCATGTGAGTCCCTACCCAGCCTGAACGGGGAGGGGCAGGGACAACAGGGAGCCTCTGACACACCCTCTTACAGGCGCTGCCGCCCCTGTGCTCCTGCCCCTGCTGCCACCTCTGCCCCCTGTGCCGAGCACCGCTGGCCCACTGGGCCTGCCCACGGAGGGAGCTCCACCTGCCCCAGGTAGGCCAGGCCCAGGTAGGGCTGAGGGAAGTCCAGGAGAGCTGGAGACCTTGATCCAGGGGGTCAGTTGAGGAGGCTCCAGAGCTCCAGGGCCTCCAGGAGCCCCAGGCTGGGTCATGGGGGCCAGGGGCTGGCTTAGGGCTCCTTCTGCTCAGCGTTAGAGTTGCTGTTTGCCTCGCCCCCTGCTCCTCCCCATCTGGCCTTCTTTTAGGAACTCACTCTGCTGTTTGCTTATCCATTCATTCACTTACATATGACTCACATGTGCATTTGCTTACCCATGTGTTCACCCACATGCTCACTGACTTTCCTCCAAGCTCTTTGATACAGACCAGACAAGGTTCCTGCCCTCAGGGAGTTCCTCGTCGCCAGAGAGTACATGACCAGGGCCGCCTGGCTGTTCCCCCAGAAAAAGTGACCAAGACCCCGCCCCTTTATGCCCATGTGACATTCTAGGTGCCCAAGGGGGCAGGCGTGGCAGGAACGGTGGTGTCGTGCTCAGCACCAGGGAAGTGGGGCACAGAGAGTCAGGACTGAGGTCACCCAGGGTTGGCTCTGGTCTTCCCTGCAGGTGTTTGGCCCTAAGGCCCCAGATGGCATGACCCCGCCGGCCCGGCCCCCACCCTGGGCACCCCCATGCAGCCCTGGCTCTGCCAAGTGCCCCAGAGAGAGGTGGGCCTGGCCCTGGGGGACTGGGGTGGGTGGGGGAGGAGGCCTGGGAACCCGAAGACTCACCTGCACCGCTCAACGCACCCTGGCCCAGGGCTCACAGCGACTGGACTCAGACCCGAGTCCTGGCGGAGATCCTTACCGAGGAGGAGGTGGTACCTTCTGCACCTCCCCTGCCTGTGGGGCCCCCGAGCACGTCGCCAGTGCTGAGAGGTGAGGCAGGGGAAGAAGGAGGAGCCCCTAGTGTTTTCCATGATCTTAGGCCCGAACCCACCTGCTCCAGACCTTGGTCTTTCCATTTCTGAAACAGGGTATGTGTTGAGCAGTAGTTTCTAAGACCTCTTTAGTTTCCAAACTCAGAATTCTCTTCCTAGGGCCACCTTCATGCCCAGATGTGTACCCGAGCCCGTGGTGCATGGGGGAGGGGGACATTGAGTGGGTACCCCCTGAGGCTCCCCCAGAGGATGCTGGGACCTGATGAGCCCAGGATAGTGCAGGCCTCAAGCGGCACCATGCCCCTCAGGTGGGGCCACAGTGCCAAACCTGGCCCGGAGACTGGAGGCTCTCAGAGACCAGATCAGCAGCTCCCTGCGACGTGGCCGGAGCCAGCCACCCTCCCATGAGAGCACACACAGTCCTAGCCGGGTCCTTCCTCCCTGCTGAGGGAAAATGGAAGCCCAGGAGACCACCGCGTGACCTTGGCCTGGGCTCTTTGCTCTGGGGCTTCAGCCTCCCCATCGATTAAATGGGAGTAGCAGCTGCTGGTGCATTCTGCAGCCTGGCTGGGCAAGGACGGTTCCTGGGGGCCAGCGGGTGAAGGCTGGAGGGCAGTTTCAGGGAGCAAAGGGAGGGTACCACCCCAATCTATGAGAAATGAGACTGGATTCAGGAGAAACTGGCAGTGGGTGATGGAATATGCATACCAATAAAGAGTCCTCAGCTCCAAGTCTGGTTGGTCCTGTCCTTTGGGAAGTCACTTCCCACAGGGACATCCTAGAAGAGAGGAGTTCTTGGGGGACTGTGAGGAAGAGGAGGCCAGGATTCTTGGCAGAAGTGTGTATCCGCTTCTGATGCTGGAGCCTGGGGGAAGCTGTGAGCCTTCCCCAGAATGGTGGAAATCAGGAATATTCCAGATTTCCATCTCATTTCATGTATTGCACGCATTGTAATTGAGCAACTATTACGTGCCACTGGGACACCATGGGGAAATCGAATGGTGAGCAGCTCCAGGAAGGAGACCTGAAGGAAACTGATTTGGCTTCGACCCGGGGCAGGTGGTGGACTGAAGTGTGTGCTTCTCTGTCAGCTGCATGGAGCCTGGTGCTGGAAGGACCATGAGCCCCAAGTTCTGACGCCACACACCTGCATGGAGACGCTGGGCAAGCCCTGAACCCTCCCTGGACCACTGTCTGGTCTTCAGTCAGTCAGATGGGAGACATGGCTCCCTGCCCTACTGAGCTCTGCTGAGGGTCAGGGAGGTGAGGAATCTCATGATTCTGGGTACAGTGCCCAGGAGGCTGCAGTGGGTCTACAATTAAGGGGAAGTCCAGACATGATGTGAGAAATTGGAGGTGCCAGTGGAGGACCTTATTACGGAAAGATCCGCAAGGCTAACCTAACTCCCATTTTATAGTTAGGGAAACTGAGCCCCAGATGGCAAATTCCTCTGTGGGTTCATACATCCGCTCGTTGAAAAACACCACCAGCATCAACTGGAAATAAAGGCAATGAAAAGACTGGCAAGGAACAAGCTGGCTTTGCCCAGGGAGCTCACACTCTGGTGGGGACAGGCAAACAGACGTTTAAAACCTCATGCATGTGCTTTGAAGGGGGTCCTAGAGGCACAGAGGAGGGTCACCCAATCAGAACTTGTGAGGGAGTCGGGGGAGGTTTGCCAAAGAGCGATGATCAAGGCTCAGAAGGCGAAGAGCAGCTGGCCCAGGGCGGGTGGAGGGGCTGCACAGGCAAAGGCCCGGAGACCTTGAGGTTCCAAAACCAGCACAGGAAGTACATGGCTTTGTGGGCCACATCTGGAGTTTGGGCTTGTCCCAAGGGCAATGGGGGGCGGCTGCAGAGGGGCCTTGAGGAGTCAACAGCTTAGATGTGCATTTAGGTCACACCAACCACTGTGGCAGGCTGGCTGAGTGGTGAGGGTGGGCTGGAGGCAGAGGGACCAGGAAAATGACCAGTGCGGGGAGGTGATGAAATTCCTCAACCGGAAGTACCTGAACAGAGGCCTCGGGTTGGAATCCACTGAGACCTGGACCCTGGGCTCCGGCAAGGCCCTGGGCAGGCCAGCCTCAGTCCCAGGCTTGGAGAGCCCTGGGGAGGAGCAGGCCGAGGCCAGGGGCATTTGGGGAGGAGCGGGGAGCCTGGAGGTGCCCCTGGGAGGGAGTCTCAGTCATCAGGCGAACAGTGCTCAGACTTGCCCACAGGCCTGGCCTAAGGAAGTCAAGTCCTGTTGCCCCCACCCCACTGCCCAGTGCAAGCCCAAGCAAGAAAAGATCTACCCACTGTGCTAGAAAATAGCACTGGGATGTTCCCTAATTATGCCCTCCTATCCCCAAAGGAGCGAGGACCGACAGGTAAAAGCAAGGTGCCTCTTGGCTACACTTGAGCCTGCTGTGTGACTTAAAGCAGGTTGCTTGGCTTCTCTGGACCTTCCCCGATGTAGAACCTCTGACTGAGATTCTTCCTGCAGGGCTGGTCCCTGAAATGGGCCGGCAGGCTCCGCTCAGGTTGGAGCCCCCAGCGCCCATGAATTGAAAAACAAAACGTGACTGAGCATTAGGGGTATTCAACAGCTGTAACTGTAGATGGCCAATGTCCATGGAGGCAGGGCCCAGGGATCTGGGGTAGTGGCAGACACCACAGGAAGCTGGGCCAGATAGAGGTGGCTGTGGCTAGGTCCACAGACTGAGCCACAAAAGTTCAAATCCCAGCACTATCCCTTATCCATGAGTGATCCTGGGCAGGTGACCGAAGTGCTCTGATCCTGAGTGGCCTCATCTGCAGAATGGACACAATAATAGCCCCTCAAGGGATGGTCATGGGCATTAAACCCCCCGACATATGGCAAGGCAATAGCACGCAGCTTTGCCTGTTGCAGACAAGTTAGCCAAAAGCGACTGTAGTCAACATGACAGCTCGATGGAATTGACAATATGGGTTTTAAAAAAAAAATCAACAAATATTATTGAGGACCCACTTGGAGCCAGCATTGAACACAACATAAAAATCCTTTTCCTCATGGAAGACAGACAAAAAGCAAGAAAATGGACAAAATACGTGGGAAGTCAGAGGGTCATAAATGTCATGGAGCAATATGGCGGCGGGGGGAGGCATCTTCCACAGCAGGTGCCCCCATTCTAAGGGGGACAGGGAAGGTCTCATGCAGGTGACACTTGTGCAGATACCTGAAGGAGGGGAGGAGGGCGAGCCTGATTCATGCCATAAAGTCACTTTTCTGCTCCAGGTGATTTTCTGCTGTAGGTGAGGGGACATCAGCTTGGGTGGCTCGGCAGGTTTGAGCCTGGGCTTCCCCCACCCAAAGCCCTTATCTCACTCACCGCCTCGTGGCCCTGCTTGCTGGGAGGTCTGCAGCCTCCAGCAGGGGAGAGTCCTGGCACCGAGAGCGTGAGACTTCCCTTAGCTGCCTTAGGAGGAGGGACAGGGACCACCCAGGGGGGCCTTGGCTGTTGCTGGTTCATGTTTGGATGATCCCTGCTCCTGCTGGAGCCAGCCGTGATTTTCCAGCTCCCTAGTTCCAGCTCAGCAAGCCCCCACTTACTTCCCAGAGACAGACATGGGATGCAAGGGGCCAAGCCTCTGCGGCCGCCATCTCATAAGCCCTGTGTCCGTCTCCCCATCTGCGTCTCGCCCTAGAACTGCTGCTTGCCCAGAACCCCTGCACACCAGAGGAGTTCCGCAGGGCTCAGTAACGTATCAAGACTCTTCGCCTCCGGGGGTCCTTCCTGAGAACTTGTGAGCTGCAGAGGACACTTCTGGAACCCTGAAAGCCGTGGGCCTTCCCCAGAATTCTGGAATTTGGGGGCAGTTCTTTGGCCCCACGAAATAAGGGAGTGTTCCAAAACAGTCAAACCTCGAACATGGTCTCCAGTACCTCAAAACATTAGAATTGGGGGCAGCTCTTAGAAATCCCAAAATGCTATAGGGATTTCCCAGAATCCCAAACCCTGGAGGATCTCTGAAATTTAAAACATTGACTAGAAGTTGGGAGCGATTCTCTGGGATCTTTGGCTGGGGGTGGGGATGCTCACCAGAGCCCAGACGGTCATCCATAAGTGTCTAGGTTGCTGGCAAATCTAGAGAGCAAGTGAGCTAAATGTCTAGAACCCTGTTTTGAGCTTTCCAGTTCCTGGGGGATTCCAAACTCCTAGCCAACGCACGATGGATTGTCAGCACAAGCCTCAGGCAGAGCACTGTTAAAAGGCTATGAGGTCTCTTCTGGGCAGCCACCCGGCCCCGATAGACTCCCAAGAGGTAAAGTCAGTGTGAGAGTTCGTGAAGACCCTACTGCCAAGGACATCCTGCTCCCTCCCATCTCTCCATCTGCTTTGGCCTCCTCAGCCTCCTCTCACCGCCCAGATGTGCTCAGCTTACTCTCACTCGGGGTCTTTCTGCCCTTTGTCTAATGACACATTTGCCCTAAATGTATACTCATTTAATGTTATACACAACAGATTCATTTCAGCTGCTTTGAAGGATATTTTGTGTTCTCTTAGAGGACTTTTTCCATTTCCATCTTCTTACTGAGCTTCCCAAAACTCGTCTTCCTTTATCTTAAGCAAACAGGTGGAAACAGGTTGGGCAGGCAGGGGTGGTCTTGCTATGAAACAAGGAGCAAGAAGCTACTGGAACTTGTAGGTTGGTTGGTACTGTGGTTGGAGACCAGGACAGGAGTCAGGAGACCTGGGTTCTAAGCATGCAGCAACGGACCTACTGTGTGAGCCAGACAGGCCCCCTGGCCATCACTGACTTCTATATGGGCTGGCCATCGAGGAAGTTGGCCAGAGGTGTCTTTCTTAAGAACCTTCACTCAGTTCACAGCACTGATCACACCACCTCTCACCCATCACACATTTTACTAAGTCCCTACTTGAAGGCCAGGCCTGGTTGAGTAGGTATAGGGGACACTCGGCTGACCTGTTCCCAAGGAGCTTCCAGACAATCAAGAGGGAAGGACAATAAAAGTGACAATTGCTAGCAATGGAATAAATAACAAATAGCAAATTTATTCAGAGCCAAGCATTGTTCCCAGTACTTGCCATGTATTAACTCATTCATTTCTCGTAACAACTCTGTGAAGTAAGTACTATTATTATCGTCATGTTGCAGTTAGGAAACCAAGGCAAGAAGAGGTTTGGGAACTTTTCCAAGGTCATAGAGCTAGAACGTGGCAGAAGTGGGGTTTGTACTGGAGTGGTCTGGCTCCTGAATACATGTTCTGAACCACGATGCCAAGTGCCACCCAGTAGAACCACAGAGGAAGGGCAAATAGAGGAGCAGTGTCTATCCAACTCAGGAACCTCTGAGCACATGGAGCAGCCTCCCTGGATAAATCAGTCTCCATCAAAGCCCAGCACAACCCTGCTAGGACAGG